TCTGACAATTTGACGAATCACATTTTGTCACCCAGTGTCATCGACAGACTCTTCTCCCGACTGCACGACTGCTGCATCTCAAGACGCCGCAGTGATCACGACTCGTTTTCTCTCTTTTTCTGTTCTGCCACGTTTCTTTCATTTTTTTCTCATTTCATTTCATTTTTTTTCTTCGTTTCCTTCTCTTTCTCCCCTCATTCCTTGCATTTTTGTTTTCACTTTGCTTCGTTCTTCCACATTCCCCACCACGACTGCTGTGTTCGAGACACCGCAGTGATCAAGACCCCTTTTCGACCCCAGCACTGCAATCGCACTCGGCACTGCTGTGGCCGTCTTTCTTTGTTATCTTTTCCCCACATCTTCACGTGTTTTCCTTTTTCAGTTCTTTGCGGTTTTCACTTTTCTCGCACTTTTTTCTCAATCCTTTCTCCAATCTTTCATTCAAGATCTCACCATGAGCGACGCTGGCCCCTCGAACGCCAGTGGCGACACGGACACCGATAGCAACACGTCTATGCTCAGTCCCGAGCAAATGGCACAGGGTATCGAGCAAAACAATGCCGAGATCCTGGCTGAGATAGACACCAGCGTCACGGCCTCCATGAGTTTTAACGACCTGTGCAAGTTCTTCGGCGTGTCAAAGTTCGATGGCAATGCCGACAACCTGGATCGTTTTGTGAGAAATTTTTCGAATCGTTGCAAGATGGTCTCACTGACTGAAAAGGACAAGGTTACCGTCCTCATTACCTGCTTGTCGGACTCGGCACTGGAGTTCATCTTCGATGGCAGTGCCGACAGCCTGGATCGTTTTGTGAGAAATTTTTCGAATCGTTGCAAGATGGTCTCACTGACTGAAAAGGACAAGGTTACCGTCCTCATTACCTGCTTGTCCGAACTCGGCACTGGAGTTCATCATGGACGAGCTGGACGACAAACCCGGTAGCACTTCGGACGAGCTGCTGGCCGCGCTCAAGAGAAAGTTCAGCGACGAAGCTACTGGCCGACCTGCGCTACACGGCACGCAGCGTGAAGGAAGTGGTCGAGACGGTTGAGAGGCTGAGGCGCATTCGCGGCATCAACATCACCGAGGACGGCATCAAGCAGGACTTGCTCGCAGCCCTGCCGCCCGTCGTGTACGCCACCCATGCCCTCGACTGGTCCTTGGATGAGACGCTGGCGAACATCAAGGCCTCGATCCTGTATTCGATGCAATTCGAGCCGAAGCGCAGAAACAACGGCAACAGGGTGAGCGACAACACCCCCCTTGACAGCAGCGACAACCGCGGTCACAACAACAGCAACAGCAACAACAGCAACAACAGCAACAACGCCGGTCGCAATGGTGGCAACTATGCGACTTACAACAATTCGGCTCGCGGCAACGGCAACGGTAACGGCAACCGCAACGGCAACGGCAACAGGGCAGCGCACAACAACAAGCCGGGCCCGTCGCAGCGCTCGTCCTCTTCGCCAATCACTGACAAGGAGCGCGCGGAATGCTTGGCGAAAGGCCTCTGCTACAAGTGCAGGGAGCCGGGTCACATTGCCAGCAGGTGCCTCACGCGTTTCTCCAAGAAGCAACTCGCTGCCGCCCTGTTCGCGCACTGGGCTACCGACGACAACGACGACGACGACGACGACGACGACGACGAGCCGCAGCAGCAAGGCCGGCAGGGCCAATCCCAGCAGGGAAAAGCCCAGCCCACCGCCAGGGCCATCTGACGAGTGGGCAAGAAAACGGCGCCTTTGTTTTTCCAGCTCGTGTTTGCAACCTGGACCGTCCCAAGTCCCAGCCTGTGAGCACGCCCGTTCTGGTTGACAGTGGCGCTACTGTAACGTTGATGGATGACGAGTTCGCAAATAAATTGTCTGTCAAACGTTCACGTATGGCCAAACCAATCACAGTCCAATCAGTCAATGGGCAACCATTGAAAATCAGCGAGCAATGCAGAGTCGGTCTTTCGCTCGGCAAGCACCGTGAGGTGATCCAGCCTCTGATCACATCGACGCCAGTCGTACCTCTCATCCTTGGGGCGGACTGGCTGGAAAGGAACAACCCTCAAATCGACTTCAAGCAACGAACAATGCACATCCCTGTGCAAAGCAGTCAGTCCTCTGCTTCGACACCCTCGACGGCCGGCTGTCGCCCTGGCCTCCTCCCTACGCCTCCCCACAGCGCGTTATTGACACCGACACTCACAGCCCAGCGTGTGGCAGCGCCGCGGCTGCGACAGAACCAGACAACACGAACTGCGCGTGGCGGTGTCAGGCTTCTGGATGCAACCTGCCACTTTGAATGATTTCTTGCATGT